TGTGAGGGTAGTAATGTATTTCTCCAGGAACCTATATTTGGTGAAACTACTTTAGGAAAGGTAACTTGATGTCATCTCAGCATTGTACATCAGGGGAAAAAAACTGAAGTAGACAGTTAATTTTCCCTCAGCAAACAAAAATAACTCAGCTACCTCAGACCTAAATACAGTAATTTGTAACTAAAGTATTGCAATGCTAGAAAATTAACTCTGAGTATCTTCTTCTTTTATATAAAAGGAGATTCTGTCCATCACCTCAACAGTAAGCTTCATAGTGAAATTGTATGGTAAAGCTAAGAAAGTCCTATAGAAGTACATTTATTTGCCTTATGTCAATCTTGAAGTATTAAACTCAAGAAAATTTGTCCTATTATTTCATGGCTACAATGGCCAAAATTAAACCGTGGATACAATTAAAATATAAATAAGAAATAACTCAACTAAGCTCAAACTTGGTATTAGACTAAATTTACATATTAATTGATTCTGGCATTCTCTATACTTTAGTACTTAAGTAAGCCAAAAATAGATAATCATCAGCATATGATCACAATATCTTCAGTTCCTATATTTTTAACAGTTTTATAAATTCATTTATGGACATAAGGAATAAAATATTAAAAACTCATTCATGAGGTACCTCAGTTGTCCCAAGCCTACAGAATTAAACACTTTTTGTTAATATTCTTGTCAGTAGTTTTAGCTCTAGGTTTCTAATGTTATCTAATACTGATCTTAAGAAATTTGAGGAAAAGCAAATATTAATATTATCAATTAAAAAATTTGAGACATTCTGATAAGTTGTTTTGATACATATTAATTTGTTACTAATATGTGAAGTTTGATTATTAAATGACAAAAATTCTTTATCATCTTCCTTTCATTTCTCAAATTTAAAAGTTTTTATTGGATTCATATATATTGAATTTTTTTCTAGAAAATTCTTAAATGACTACTCCAATACATAACTGTTCTAATAAACTCACACTCTATGATGAATTTCTATCAGCAGAGTAACTGACAATATTCTGTTACTTAGCTTGGTGATGAATAAGAATACTGACCAAATGCTCATTACCAGAACTGAGAAAACATATCCAAGCCATAGGCAAATGATGCTGATAAACTGAGGTATTACTTTATGTCAGGTTACATTGTGTTTGTTCATTCTTATTATCGGATCCTGCAAAAAATGACATCACTTTGTCCAATTAATTGCCTCAATATTTCTCAAAAAGTACTTTCTTCATGATTCGAAGTCAGTATTAATTTATGTAGTAATTACCTATTGTTATTTCAAGAAATGCATTACCTTGGTGTTATAAGATACTTTTATTAGATGTAAGCAGAGTATCACTGACAGCACAATGCATTGAACATGGTATATATTCATAGTAAATGGTAACTTTTAATAATTATAGGAAATTCAAAGGAACAGGAAATTGGAGCCTAATTATCCTAAACTAACTTCTAAGAATTTATAACAAATTAATTAATTTGAAAAATATTTCTTATGTAATAATACATAGTTAATTATGTCACTGCTGTTGAATATAAGACATTATAAATGCCCAGAAAGCCCCAGGCAGGAACAAAATAAGTTAGTCCAAGTCTTTATTTTATATTTAAGTAAGTGAAAACACAGACAATTTAAATGAATTCCCCATGGCCAAAATATTGAACTGTAAATATAACCTTCTATGCAGGCTAAATTCTTCCTACTGTATCACCTGGCTTCTTAACTACTTCGGGCCTTAGAATTACTCTCTTAACATCTGAGATATGCAGAAAAGACAAAAGGATGATTAAGAAAAATACCAGAAGCTGCACTATCTAAAATCATTCATGACAAACTAAATTAGCTACCTAACTATTCCATCCACTTTAAGATATTTAATGTATTCAACATTATAGTGCACTTATGTCAGAAGTACATTAACTTCATTCTTCTTTCCCCAAGGCAAAGTGAATAGGAAATAAACAAAAGTGCACAGGGAAGAGGGTGTGATACTTTTAAAAAGCAATCTTATCTCTGCATTAGTACTTAAATAGCTAAGGCACTGGATTGCTTTTTCAATTTACTGGGCTTGTGGGGTTTCTACAACATTCATGCAGAATATACATCCTGTGGACATTGCATTTTATTCAAATTTTCCAAAGGGAATTTATGCAATAATTCAACTGATCTTTTTCTGGCTTACTGAGATGGCTTGGATCAGTGGATTACAGGGAATTTAGGCCTAAATCTAAATTAATATCCTTATGTTTTAGCATATTGATGATAGGTAATAAATGAGGCAAAAAAATAAATGAGGAAGACTTTTGTAAATGAAATAATTGACATGATTTTGATAAATTGTGAGCATTAAAGAAACTATATATTCTTTAAAAATAAATGACCTTTTGGTTAGGAATTTTTATAGAAAAGTCATGAAATAGTTGAAAGTCAGAAGATTAATAATAAAGCATAATCAAGTGCACTTACCATATTTAAATTAAGAATCTGGGAATAGCATCAAGAAATACAGCCTATACTTTCCCCAAAACCATTAACTCTTGAATGACAGAATTCTTTATAGTGTTTTGGGAATGTAGAGACTTCTATTCTTTGTCTTTTCAGTTATTGATAGTTTTGCTACAGCTAAGTATACCAGATAAAACCAAGCACTTGCAATTCAAGTTGAATAATCAAACTATGAATTAACTGGTCTAGGTTTAGGTTACAAGCAGTGTAGATATTTGTTAAGGACTACGAAGTTTTCTAAATGCAAAAAAAAAAAATGTTTTTAAACATTCCGTATGCCACAGCAGACAATAAATGCTAAATATAGTTCATATTGAATGATATTATAGAATTTATTGTAATATAAATTTATATTGCTACAACCCATCATGTTCCTGAAACAAAATTTCATATAATGTAAAATCTACTAGCATTGAAACTGCATATACCAGAACCTGAGCCAACTTCCATAAATCCAAAACATTTTCTCAAATAGATTAGCATTTATAGAGAAAAGGCCTGAGTCTATTTTATCTTCATATGTTGGTTTATCTGTGTTCAAAATTAATTTAAGTTTATATAGCAAACTAGGACAGTTTATGCCTCAGGACAGGAAGACAGCAAAGATGTGGATCTTTACAACCTAAACATCTTGCCTCTATGAACATCCTTACTTATCACCCTTCTATATTACCAATTTCCTTTTCATAATGACCTGGCCATTTTTATTCCACAGAAAATACACACGGAAAATCCACTAAGTTCTTTTAAAAAAGTAAATGGCTTTATTATTGCATATATATAGCCAGTCTATGATTAAAATAATAGATTATCAGTTTTCTTCACTTTTCCCAAATCTTCCTCTGTCCTAATCTGTAAAGTAAAAGTGATTATATTTTAAATTTCAATAATTCCTTTCTTACATGCTTTACTTACCTTATCTAGAATTTTAGGAAAAAACATTTAGGGGAATTCTTGACAATCTACATTTATATATGTTAATTGGAAATAGCTTTTTATTATTTATTTACTATTTCCCGAATGCCAATAGTGTATATTTATTTTCAACACTTTACTCATAAATGCAGTAAACAAACATTTGCTAGTGCTATTTTGCAACCAAGTTGATATGAAACAGAGATGGGGATGTAAGTGTAAGTAAAAACAAACAAACAAACAAACAAAAACTTTCAACCTCTAGGACGTCAACATTTAGTCAAGAATTTATGCTACACACAGAAGTACTTTTAACATTTGATGAAAAGTGGTGCGATGTATAAAAGAAAAAAACAAAATAAAATGGAGGTTGATTTGATCTAAACTGGCTGGGATGATTCGGGAAAGGATTTGTGAACACTGTATTCCATGAACCATGTCAGAGGCTAAGTGGCACCTCTCTCTTAGAAACCTAGTGCAATATTTGAGTTATGTAGAGAAAGGTTTTTGGAACTGACCCAAATACGGATTTCTTTTCCATTTCAAACAGCTGTTTTTCTTTTCTCTCAGCTAAGACACCAGCCTAAGCTTTTCATATTCCCTCAGTATGGCTTTAATTAACTAATGTTAATCTGTACTACTAACCCTCTGCTACACATTTGTGAATTTGTTTTGCACATTGCTCACTGAGCCTGATGCCTGCTTTTGCAGACCTGATACCATCTCTAGGAATCTGTATCCCAATTTTTTTTTTTTTTTTTTTTTTGTACCAGGGATCAAACTCCAGTCCTTGCACTTGCGGGGCAGGTACCAGAATCACTGAGCTAAATCCCCAGCTCTAGGAATCTGTATACAGTTCCATATTATGGGCAAGAAAATTCAGATCTTAAAATTATAGGTTAGCTCTTTATGAAAATTTGCAAGAACATTAAAAGCAAAAAAAATTGTACCACCACTGACACCAAGTCAATAAAATAAAAAGTGTTTAAAAGAAATTTTGCTAAATTTAGAGTCTAGATATATAAGAATGCTAAGAACTTATTCCATAAAGAAAGTTGATTTTCAATATTCTAGTTTCTTAAATTTGCAGAAAGGAAATTGACCTCTATTTTGTAGATAACTGAGAACCATTTGTGCTTTTGAGTTAGGAAACTCTATCACTAGGAATCTGAAATAGATTTTTACATGGCAGCATATTACGATATTAGAGAAATCATATAAACAGATTAAATAGGAAAGCTATAAAAATATGAGATAATATAGGTAATGGTACTAGAAATGGAAATTAGGAAGGGATGACTAGAATTTAGGGACAGGAAAGACAAAAATCTTGAGGGAATAGAAATGCACATATTATGTGGATAGAATTTAAAAAAGGGATCCAGTCTGGATAGTAGATGGTTGTTAAAACCTTAAGAATACCAATAACATTGATAGCATAGAAATGCAGATATTATCCAGAGGTTTTAATGGTTCCTTCTGTTCTAAGCAAGTTGAGAGGCAGCTAAAGCAATAGATATATTGTGATGTTCCAACATTCCAATTAGAATGCTGATCAAGATTTGGAGGAAGAAATAAGCACTTGGGCTTTTGAAATGAGAATCATGGATACACTGCCAGAGAAAAGACTGTAGAGAGAAAACAAAAATCAGAAAGAATTCTAAAGAACACAACTTTAAGAAAACAGGATGAAGGAAATACATCTGTGGTGGGAACAGAGAAACACCAATCTGGAAGGCCGGAGGAGTGTGATTGGGTACAACAGACTTGTCAAACTGGAGAGGACAGAAGAAGGGAAGGATTGACATGGGAAAATGTGAGAAATTGTAGGAATAAAAAGTAGAAGAAGCTATAAAAGGCTGAGTAGTTTATACAAAATAAAACTTTAAAATACTTAGATTTGAAGTTAACCCTAGTAAGCGAGCTATGAATGAAACGAAGTAGAAAAAACTATGCTGTAATTTGCAGAACTCAGAAATTAAAAGAGAAATTACATACTTATATATGGACTGAGTGAAGATATGGTTTGAGATATGAGGGAATTCAGTGTGTGAACAGTTTCTGAAAATGTTTAACACATAAAGGTCTAATAAGAAATGCATGCCCTAAGACAATAATGAGGAAACCCTGAAGCAAGATGATGCTTAAGGAATTACACGTGAAAAAGGAAACTGATCTTTTTCTCTCTGAACCAGGAGGAAAAAGAAATGTAAGAGTCAAAATGCAGAGCAAATGTTGATTGAAGGAGTCCAGTTGAAGGATTTTATTTATAGTAGCTGTGAGGCCCAAAGGAGAAGGGCAAGTGGGAGGAGAAGGGGAAAGGAAAGAAGGGAAGGGAAAATATGAGAAAAGGAAAAAACAGAAACAAGGTCTTTGTAAATAGGGGTGAAAGGGTTGAAGGGAGGGCAGGAAAATGGGGAAAAAAGCAAGAACCAAGATACATCATGTAAAGGTACAAATTCCCGATGATGAATATCATCATATTTTATATGTAAAATGTACCCATACACATAATGAATAAAAACATAGAGATAGCAAGTGACAACCGTAACTCGATGTGCGCACACAGTGATTAAGACAGTAGAAATTATTTAGGTTTAAATAAAGCTTGATGTCACTTCTTGGGTAGAATCTTGAGGTTACTTAATGATCATTTTATTTATATTAATACTTATCTGTTAGTTCCAGTGGTCTGGGTAGGTATCAAAGAGATCTTTAGAACATATTTGTAAGGAAGATAGGATATCAGCACAGGCAGGTGATAATATCAGGTGTCACGTAAGTGAACCTAAGACACACTGTAGGGAGATACAGAGGGTTTCATCAAGTAGAGAACACTGTGAGAAATTAGACTGTGGAACAGATTTTAAAAAAAGCATGAGATTAATTCCCACAAACACAAACTATGTAACAGAAGAAAAATTCCTGAACCAGATTATGTGTTTTTAAAAATAAAACCTTTCAATAAAAATATTGTTAATAGCAAATCTAATCATATTAGTGATACATAATATAACATGAAAGAAGACAAAGAAATTTACAATAAATCATTTATAATCAATACAGCAATGGCTTGAAAAGTTTGAAAAAGAGAATTGTACTGAGCAAAACGTTTGTCTTCCTGAAGCTGCTACAAATGGGTCTATCGCCTAGATTCCCTAGGGTGGCCAAATAATGATCATTCACATCTGAAAATTAAGAATCCATTTTGTTTTAGTCTAAATATGCCCAAAGCTGGATACTGTGATCTCAAGAATCAACTACTGCAAAATGAATTTGAACATTTTTAATGTTTTTTTTCTGGTTTATCATCTCTGGGTTGATTATATCTATAATGTATTCCACAGGACTTCGTTTATTTACCTCACCCTAGGAGACATGATACAAATGAAATTAGAACACGTTTTACATTACAATTTTATTTTCTGTCCTTTCATCTGAAGCCTAAGGAGCCTGACATCCTAAGTGGAAAGAAGTAAAAAGATGATTAGTCAGGCTTTTAAGAGCCACACAGAAAGCCTGCAATCCCTTTTTTCTTTATGCCCAACATAAGCAAAATACAGCAGGTAATGATGTGGGATGCTATAAAGATTTTATTACCATTTTATTGGGATGAACATTCTATCTTATCCATATTTCTACCTATATAGTTCATTTATCCCAAACTTTTAGTACTAAAGTTAATGGCATTCCTCACTTCTTAGCATACTAGCAATATTTCATGCTTTATGCATGCATGTATATGAAATGGCAAAATATCTGTCCAAGGATAAACAGAATTTGAGATTGTACTCCGTTACCTAATGATACATTGATAGTTATTCTGTTTATTAGACTTAATCAGTAAATGCTAACTAAATTCACTGTTGACTTTTATATCATTTCTTATTCCACTGCTAATGCCAGATTTTTAAGGTCAACCATAATTGAAAATATAACAAACTTTATTTAACACCATCTTTTTATTCGAGGCACTCTGTCTGGCCCTTTATGTTTCTTTATTTTATCTTATAATTTGAATGATATAAGAAGTCATGATGGCACTCAAAAGAATTAAAAACCTAAAAATAGAAATATAATGAATGATATAATTATTTCTAAATTATAAATATAATTATTAATTTCTAAATTAAATATAATTATTTCTACTTTTAGGCTTTTAATTCTTTTTGTGTGCCATCATGAATTCTTATATCATTCAAACTATAAAGTTAATTTGCAGATTTGAGCAAATAAAAATATTCAGTGTATATTGTTTTTTCCTCATTTTGTCTTAGCTAATAATGGAAAATGATCAGAAATTAGAGAGTTGATATCATATGTTAAGAAATGTTCTCTAAGTGTAGGATATGCTCAGAGATTATATTAGGCCTGTAGGGAACCTTGATCTTTAACATTTTTTTTTTTCATTTCTTACCTAAGAAAGAGAAAAATGTGGACTAGTAAAAGCTTACCATGTTTAAAGTCTCTAGGTCAATTTAGAAAGACCACCAGGAAATCAATTTCTCATTATAGGCTTGGCCTAGATTTAAAATGGAAGTGTTGAACAAAGTGAAACATCTCTCGCCTTCTGTTGTCAGTTTGCAGAAGTGATCAGTTTTGCCGATGTGATTGCCCAAATCTGTGCCTGATCCTGTTGGTCCAGATGTTAATGACCGAAATGAATGAATGAATATCTGCCATATGTGTATTCATTATTCAAACATTTAACAGATATTTACTGAAAGCATACCCAATGTCAAGAACGATGCAAGTCATCAGAGGCACAAAGGCAAATATTTAACATGTGCTCCTCAATTAATGATCTTCCACTTTGTTATATATGGAAAGAAAAATGTAACTAAAATGGAAAGTAGCATTGATTGTTAGGACAGGTTAAAAAGTATGACCATTACAGAAGGAGTGGCTAATAGTAATATGACATCACCTCATGTTTAATAGGCTTTATATATATATATTTAGGAAATGGTAAATACCATAGAAGAGGAAAAGATAAGTTGATACGATGTTTCACAAGGGGGAGCTTATTTCTGGCTTTATTTAGGAGAGGAATGGAAGATTTCAATGAAGGGGTGAGTTTTAAGCAGACTTAAAAGATAAGAAAAGTGCTTTATAATTGAAGAAATAGTAAACATTCCACTTGGAAAAAATATGTAAATCATAATGGTATACTCAAAAAACAACAGTTATTAATCCATGAAAGCAGAAGCCATCACTGCAAGATCAGGAAAATATTATCTGTGTCTGGAAAGGCAAGGATAGATTATAGAGATAAATAGAGAAAAGAAGGCTAAAATTTTAGCTTCTACAATGTTTCCATTGTATTATATTTAAAGTAGCAACAATCTGTTTGTCCTATAAAGGAAGTCTGTTTTATGCAAAATTAAAATACTACAAAAGAACAAGTTGGACTAGGCTCCCTTTTTTTAATGTTAAAGATATTTACTCTGATTGATAATCCAAAGCATTTTTTAGGTTGACTGGCTGAAAAATGTCAAAGTAACTAGTGTTAACTGGTCTGACTTCAACTTTATTTCCTCTCACTTGGTGTTATCAATTTTTGTAATTTTTCAGTGAGGGCTATTGTGAAGGGCATATGAGATGAAGGCACATCCTAGAATGTCAGTGAGATAAATTGAGAGCACAAATTTTCCAATTTAATTTTCACATATGTGCTCACAGATGGTATTTTTAAATGTTTTAACGATATTTTTTTTAAAAAGCTTCAGTCTGACAGTTTGACCCTGAAACAGGCATTAACTCTCAGTCATTCAAAGGTAGTGTTTTGAATGCAAACTGGAGTTTTTTGTTCTACTACCACAAATAGAATACCCCCCCTTTATGTGCAGATGTTCATGTGCATGCACAAACACGTACACACATTTCCTCCAGTGGCTCAGGGGAGATGAAATGACTAGATATTTATGAACAATTAGGGTAATTATAAGGCATATTTTCAGTGTTGCTTTTGTAAACGCCATATTTAGTTGTAAGGATACAACAAAATGCTTTTCATATTTAGGTGTACTCATAGCTGCATTCAACTTCTTAACTGATAGTTTACTAATTTATATACTATCTTATATGAAAAGAGGTAATGAAGAAGAGTGACTCAGTAAATTTGAGAAGGAAAAACTTTGAAAGCATCTAATCCAATGTTTGTGAACTCTGAAGCGTACAATAAATTGAAATTTTAAAAGATTGCGAATAGTTACGTATTTTCAAAAGTATACTAGAAAATTATGTTAGTACTTTAAAACTTAAATGTAGTTTGTTATTTTAAAATAAATTTATTTAAAATATTTGAAAATTCTATTGTTCCAGTAATATACATAAGTGGAAAAACTGTAACATCATATCTGGTCTACTTTTTTTTTTTTTGGTACTGGGGATCGAACTCGGGTCCTTGCACTTGCGAGGCGTTGGAATCATTGAGCTAAACCCCAGGCCCTGTAACATCATATCTGAAAGACTAAAATTTGGAAAAAATGTATTGCTCATATACCGGCACTGGGGCCCAAATAATTATGACACACTCAAGGGAGTGGTGGTACATGCCTATAATCCTAGCTCTAAAAGGATGAGGTGGAGGATTGCCATGAATTCAAGGCCAGCCTGGACTACATAGCAGACTTGGTCTCCAAAAAATTTTTTTTAATTAAATACAGAAAATCAATGTAACACACCATTAGTTTCAAGCAATAACAATCATTTGTTCAAATAAATCAGTAGGAAAGATATTTTTTATCTTAGAGGTGCTCCTTGCTTTCAATAAGGTAATGTTTTAATAAATTCATCCTACACTGAAAATAATCA